GACAACGTTAGTGTTGGATATATTGACTTTTGACACATTAATGAGATTCTTATGGCTTTGAATGCATTTATGAGAATCAGAATGATCACACTACTCTCAGTCCAAAGCATGAGCCTTTTTATTAAGAATAAAATCCTTTTTGCCTCTTTCAGAGTACTTGGAGTGAGAAAGAAGTTAGAATAATCTTTTTGGCTTACATAGTTGTTAGCATGTAAGAACAGGACATGAAACAAAACAAGACATGATCTCGTCTCCAGGTCCATGCTTCCATTTTTAGAATACCAGATGGTCTTACCATCTTCAAAACAGAATTACAGGCAGCATCTCATTTCCATGATTTTCTTGTTTGTTTTATTATTTTGTTTAGTCTCTTTGATATAGTAAGTTACTTTTTTTTTTTTTTTTTTTTGTGGTAACCATTTTTCCTTTTCATTATGTCTTTGTTTGGTTATGCCTCCAATAGTACCATGCCCAGGTAGGTATTATATAGCATGAAAACATGACCTTCCTGGATACATCAACATTTCCCTGCTCACTGCTTAATGTGCGTGTGTGTGTGTTTGTGTGTAGAGGGTGCTTATATTCTAGAATTATGGATTTATTCAACTTTATAATTAGAAGAAGTAAATGTAGTACTAGAACTAAAGTCTATATGACCTGACCCAGACACAATATGACTTTGTTTTAACTGTCATATTGCCACCTTGTGGTTGAAAATACACTAGCATTGTCTTTGCAAAACACCTAAATTATTGTTGTTATGTGCCTTGAAGTCAGTTTCGGCTCATAGTGACCCTGTACAGGGTTTCTTAAGCTGTAAATCTGTACAGAGCACAAAGCCTCATCTTTCCTCCTGTGGAACAGCTGGTAGTTTCAAACTCCTGACCCTGAGGTTAGCAGCCCAATTCATAACCACTATGCTACCAAAACTCCTGTGCATAATTGGAGATGATAGAAAAAGGTTCTCAAATGTAAAAAGGTACAAGGATATGAAAGAATAAAAATATGTACAAGTTAATGAATAAAAATACATCCATTTTCTGAGTAGTTGGACTTTGTGTCTGTTTAATCTCATTATTGCTTACAAATTTAAAGTTACTCAAAGTCAAGGTAAAACACTGAATAACTAGCTACAGATGAAGTCCTGTTTAATGGTTTAAACTCACCAGCTACTCCTGTTGTTGTTGTTGTTGTTAAGTGCCGTCGAGTCGGTTCCGACCCATAGTGACCCTGCACAGGGTTTCTAAAGCTGTAAATCTTTACGGGAGCAGAAACCCTCATCTTTCTCCCGCGGAACAGCTGGCAGTTTCGAACTGCTGGCCTTAAGGGTTGCAGCCTGATTCGTAACCACTACGCTACCAGAGCTCCTTTCTAGGAGACCCTATATAGGGTCACTATGAGTCAGAGCTAACTCAACGACCCTTAACAACAACAGATTAAATCATAAAGTGACTTCATGTATTAAAACAAACATCCTGAAATGTTTGGATATTAACTTATTACACAGAGTTGTACAGCTCCATTAACTGAATGTCTAATAAATATTGCAGTTTACAAAGATGGTTATACTTTTCCATGAACTACAAACCTTCACACTACCTAGCATGTGTTTACGAAGCATTTGCACCTTGTTGTTGCTGTTGTTAAGTGCTGTCAAGTTGTTTCCAACTCAGTGACCCTGGATAGAGTTTCTGGGGAGCAACTGGTGGATTTGATCTGCCGACATTGTGTTTAGAAGTCCAGTCCTTATCCTACACTGCCACACCAGGACTCAAGTTGTACCAAAGTGAAAATAAATAAATAAATAAATAAAGACCATAACAAAATGTTTGACACATCTTCTAACTGGATAGCAAGCAAAGCTTTGCATCAATGAGAGTCTCAGTGGCAAAATGTGTTCAATGAACAGTAGGACTTCTGACTCAGTGAAAATAAATGATAACACTATTGCAAAATATTTGAATTGTTTGTTATGTTTTAAATCAGAGTGGACAGTTTCTGATGCAGGGACTTGAATTATTTAAGACCACTGGTCTGGTCATTATTATTGCATGGAGGATAATTTATCCACTGATGGAATACTCTAACTCTGTTTATTTTTTTAAAGTAGGTTCTATGACAGATCATAGAAAAGAAGAACAATTATACACTATAAACATTGTTTAAATATTCTGTTAGCATTTCAGAAGACAGTAAGTAGGGAGAACTACAATAATTATGGAGAAAGAGGCATTTAGACATAATGAGTCCTGCTTCACTGTTCTGCTTCCCTTTCTGTTTCTCCTTCTCTCCTCTCTTGGTCTGTTGTTGTTGTTAAGTGCTGTCGAGTCGGTTCCGACCCATAGCGACCCAGAACAGGGTTTCCAAGGATGTAAATCTTTACAGGAGCAGAAAGCCTCATCTTTCTCCCACGGAACAGCTGGTAGTTTCGAACTGCTGACCTTGTGGTTCGCAGCCCGATTCATAACCACTATGCTACCAGAGCTCCCTTCTCTTGGTCTACATACCCAGATATTTCTCTTTCTGTCTGCCTTTCCTCCTTCTTCTCGCTGTGTTTTTCTTTTCTGTGAGTTTTAGGAAGAAGAAAAGATAATACCACTCTGCCTCTAACAGTTCAAAACGAACTGAGATCCTGGTGTTAGGTTGTTGTTGTTGTTAAGTGATGTTGAGTCAGTTCAAACTCATAGCAACCCTGCACAGGGTTTCTGAGGAGTGGCTGGTGGGCTTGAACTGCTGATCTTGTGTTTAGCAGTCCAATGTTTATCCTATAGCATTACTACAGGAATCCTGGTGTGGGATCCAGTTGTTGTTGTTAAATGCCATCGAGTCAGTTCCGACCCATAGCGACCCTGTATTGGGTTTCCAAGGAGCAGCTGGAAACTACTGGCCTTAGCCCATGGCACCACACCAGGACTCCATGGGATCCAGTAGATGGATATAAAAAACATCATTTTACCCTTAAACTGTGTACTGAAACCAAACCTGGAAGGCCTACCTTTCAGTTAAATAGTGGATTGGCTCATAAAATAAATAATATTACCTATGGGAAAAGTCATCTTTATTACTGATACTACTTTATTACTGTTTGCACACTATGGCTTCACATTTACAGCTAAATGGTTCTGTAATATCACAGTCCTGAAATGGACAGACTTGTCCACTGGCCATAGTCAATATGTGAGAGTAACAGTTAAGACCTGAGCACTTTTTTGAAAGTTTGATATTTACTTGGTGACAGCCACATAAGTAGATTTTATTTGGAGTATCTTCATTTACCATTCAGTATGCATATGTTACCAGCCAACCTAAATGACTGTTTCCTCCGTGAGAGCTATTCTACTTTTCCAGTCCTGTACTACTTAGTGCCATAGCCTCCACTTACTCTTATGAAGAAACATTTTTCATACTGTACTACGCTGCCTCTTGACCTTTTGTACTGTTTACTCATGTAAGTCCAGCACTTTTTTAAATGTGCAAATGTTTGACTTTTAAATCTAAGATTGTTGTTGTTGCTAAGTGCCATCAAGTCAGTTCCGACCCATAGCGACCTTGTATAGGGTTTCTGAGGAACGGCTGGTGAGCTTGAACCATTGAACTTGTGTTTCAAACTGACCTTTTTGTCCAGCGCATTAACTTATAGTGCCACATGATACAATAAACAAATCTGGACTCAATAGAAACTGCTTCATAAGGAGATGGTCGAGTCTATAGACAAGCCATATGATTTCAAGAGGTTGGGTGTTTTCCTGTATCTCCTCCCATGGGCCAATTCAAAACTAAATAAAGAAAAACAGAATTTTAATAGTTACAATTGACCTACTGCTGCCTGCTATGCCTGGTACAAAGTGCATACAAGTGAAACTTAACTATTTTTATGGTTTAAAGAGGGGACTTTTTTTTTTTTTTTTACATCCACCAGTTTGGAAGGAGGTTTGGTGCTATAGTGATTAAGTAGTTGGCTGCTAACTGAAAAGTTGGTGGTTCAAACCCGTCAGCCTTCTGTGAGAGACAGATGTGGCAATCTGCTTCTGAAAAGATTTCAGCTTTGGAAACCCTGTTGGATCATTCTTCTCTGTCATACAGGGTTGCTTTGAGTCAGAATTGATGGCAATATATTATCAGTCAATTGAGACAAACTTTTACTGAGATCAAAGACTCTTCTCCCTATAATATAATCTTTGTCCCAGCCTCAAATTCAAGGTCATGTAAAAATTAGTTATAGTAGTCTGCATCCTATCTACAAAGTAAATCGTCAAAAACCAGGGGCACAATTGTAAACTTCAGTCCTAATATAAACTGCCTCCACGTCCTGTGGGCTGAAACCTTTGAAAATGAATTTACTAAAACATCCAGGATACTTTCTGCCTTGCCTGTTTCAGAAGCCTCAGTATTCTCCAAGACCTTAAATGATATAAAATAGCTAATCCCCAAATATATTTAGATTTCATTTTATTATAAACACACAAATGTGTATAAACACATAGAATTAGATAGTCAGCTCTTTTGTTCGTGTCAGTTACCATCTATATACTTGGAGTCTACTTTCTTTGATATAAATCTGGCTGTAAAATAGAAATGACAAGACCTTAAATTACTTATGACATACCTACAAAGTTACAGTTTCCTCAAGAATCATTAAAGTTAGCTATATTAGTACCTTCCAAAGAAAAGAGTATATGGCTCATAAAGTTAGAGTTTTGAATAATGAAAAAAAAAAATTCCTACCAAAAAGCTATGAAAACTTGACATTTAGTCCATAATTCTGCTTTACTGGCCTAATAACTATTAGCAAAAAGTAAATGAAAGTTTGCTTCAATAAATATTGTGATCCTCGCATACCTTTCCTTTTTCTTTTCCTAATGGGCTTTGGGTTAATATTCTAAATAGCAATCATTAATTCTTGGATTAATATGTATAAAGTATAGTTTAAGATACCAATCTATATATCCTTTGACTGTGCAAGTTGATGAAGAAGATCTGATACCATATCTGTGAGAATGTCAAATAGTTTTTACCCATTGCATTTGAGTATTTAAATAAGCACTTTGAAATTTTGATTCACCAAAAATCTAAAGCAATCATGATTAAGACCTAAATCCCATTTTGAAGCCAAAGCTCATTTTTGGGTAGTGTCCAATGGCAATTTGTTTATTTGCTGGCAGGTGTGTCTGTGTTCTAGTCTGGTGCTTAGAAACGGTTTCTTGTGCTCTTGCATCTCATTGCCACAGCAACAAGCATTCTTTGGTTCTTCACTCACCACACACAGGACATGCAAAGGGAACAGTGCTCGCCTTTGAAATAATAGCGTTGATGGAAAACACCAGAGACAAACAAGAGGAACTCCACTTCCGCAGGAAGCATGCGTCTGTCCCCAGTTCATCACACTCTGTATCTTCCAGGGGAATTTACCACCATTCAGTCATTCAGTTTGGAGAGAAGGAGAAAGAGCCATAGGGAGAGAATGGAAAAGAAGGAGCAAAAATGAAGCCTGTGCTTTCATTTTATTCTTCTCTCTGAGGGCAGTCTACTTCTGCCCCAATATTTTTCTTAATTACAGGGAGATTAACATTTAACACAGATTTAAGCAGTCTAAACTGGAATTATTTCCTGGTGAATTTCTTGTGCTGGCAGTAAGCGAGTGGCAGTTGCTGGTTGCAAACATTTCTGGGAAGAAAATGAATCAGATTAAGAGTATCAAATTTTAACTTCTGGAATCCCTTGTGCCCTTGCCATTGAGTGGTAGGAACCAGTGAAAAGATGTGTTAGTTTAACTCTTGGACAGAGAGGTAGGGCAACACAGAGACCTGTGTTTCCTTCTCCCACAGTTGCAATTTATGTCCCCCTGGAAGTTGCACGGTTAGCTAATAGCACACTTTTTTCCACTCTCCTGCTCGGCTCATCATTTCATCCTCCCAACCCCACCACTGCTGTTGGTATATGACCATGGCCTCCTGCCAACCTACCAGCCTTCGATCCTTCAGTTCCGACAGGTCTCACACCCTGAGCCATGCCTCCTACATGAGAGACAGTGCCATGATCGATGACACAGTTGTGATCCCCAGTCACCAGGTACGTGATTTGTTTTACTTTCATGTCTTTGCTTTATGGAGAACCTTTAGGTATTAAATGATGCTGGAAAGGTCCAGAGGATATTTTTAATTGAAAAACAACAACAACAACAACAACAACAACAACAAGAAGCAGTCTTCATTCAGTTGATAAACTAGAATAAGAGATTTGAGGGTTTTTGTAAAATGTAAGCAGTTCTCACTAGCTTATTGCTGTAACTATATTGAATTCTTCTTTGGAGATTATTATAATGGTCAGTTCCTTTATAAAATCCCCATTGACAGAGAAACAGGTAGGATATAGTTAAAGTGGAAGTTGTATGGTGCAGCTTAAAGTGTATTTCCTAATACTTGAAATTATTAGCCATTAGAAAAGACTTGAAGTCAAGGCTGAAATATTTTATTTTTAGGTATGATATGATTTTATCCGTTTTTATTGATTTGATATAGGGAAGCAGATGGGTACATACTCTCTAAAAACAATCACTTCTGGGTTTATGTTAAAAATTTAATTTACGTGGGAATGCATTATGAAAGATTCATTTCAAGCCAGTCAGTTGTTTTCAAATGAAAGATTTTCCATTTCCACCACCTTCCTGTGATACCACTTTTTAGATTGCATTGTATGTTACTTTAATTGAAAGAAAGTATTTTTATATATATATAAAATCCAGTGTTCTTTGTGTGCAGGTGTCAACTCTGGCCAAGGAAGCAGAAAGGAATTCTTATCGTCTAAGCTGGGGCACTGAGAACTTAGACAACGTGGCTCTTTCTTCTAGCCCTATTCATTCAGGGTGAGTAAATCAATATTATGTATCCAGATCAAGAGGTAAAAAGAGATGAGAGTGAAAATAACAGCTTTGTCCAGTAGCTTTAGCTGATGACTAGCTTGCAGTGGAAGTGAACTTTGTTTAAACTTGTAAATAACATTGCTTCATCCAAACAAACAAACCAGCACAAATGGTTGAATTCAGCATAGAAAACTTATTGTGTAAAATAACTAGTGGAGTTGAGTCACACAGTTTGATACTAACTAGAATATACCAATGACCTCCTTACTGTTCACATGTTATCGTAAATATACTTACAGAGAGAAGGGCAGGATCATTTGCTTTCTAAAAAGTTTCTATTAACTAAGATTAACTGATCAGTTCTTGGAAATAAATTTGTTTATTTAAAATAATGTTTACTTAACAGAAACTTGATTTGCACAAATTTATAGAGGAATTCAAATATGAAGTAGGAACATAAATAAAAAGAAAAATTTGAATGTATCCAAGCATCCACAGAATATGTATAACACTATTTAAGAGAGGCTCCCTATTTATATTAATTCATCTAAAAGTAGGTCTTTGACTTAAATGCTTTAAAACATACTTAAAGTTGTTATTAACTTATAAGAATTCAATTATAGGAACTATATAAATTCCATAGAGTTACAAATTATAGCACTTCACAATTTCTTTCTTACTTAGTTTTGATAAGTAATATAGAAACTTCATAATCATACATGAAAGTCCAGCAAAATACATCTGTGAGTAATTTTACTTATGATTACTTATGATGAAACCAAGAAAATCCAGTGGTTAAATTAATCACTTAAGATAAACATCTTTTAAACCTTGGTCTCTAATAACCTAATTTTTCTGATAATTTCAAACATTCACTCTTTTTTTCTATGAACTCCTACCCATATTTTACCTAATTAAATATGTTAGTTGAAACAATTGTTCCGAACTCCTCTTCTGTAATCCCAAGAACTATTTTGAGTAATGAAACTTTAAAAAACAAAACAAAACGTATTTCTCTTTTCAGCAAAGCACTATAAGATACTATATTTAAAATGTTTAGACTTCTTAGTCTAATCTACTAATAAAGAATCATAGCATGTAAATTAATTATACAGATACTGAAAAATAATCTTAATCTCTTGTTCTCATTAAATGAGTAAATGCTAACTTCTGCTGCAAGAGTTGCTCAGGGGTAATGAGAAACCAATTAAACCTCATTCACATTTACAACAGTACGTAAGAATATAGAACAACAACAAAAGGTAAGAATATAGAGACCAGCCATAATGAAGAATTGAAAGTCTCTACCCAGCCTATGGAGTCCTGGTGTGACACTGTAGTATCAGCACTGGACTGCTAATGGCAAGGTTGACAGTTCAAACCCACCAGCTGCTCCTTGGAAACCCTAGATTTGACGGCGCTTAGCAACATATAAAGTGACACCAGCCTATAAAGTGACAAAATTATTTTAAGCAAAATGTGATTTAACTATGAATGTTGTTGTTGTTATTAAATGTTGAGTCCATTCTGACTCACAGCAACCCTGCAGAGAGTTTCCAAGGAGTGGTTGTTGTGTTTGTACTGCCAACCTTACCATTACCAGTCCAGTGCTGATCCTCCAGTGCCGTACAGGACTCCAACTATGAATTGTTGTGAATAACTGAGTTAAAATATTATGTTAATATTTAAATTTAATAAATCATTTAGAAAAGAAATTTCTTAATGGAATCCTATAAATTACTGAAGGACACTAAAATACTCAGTTTAAGTACATCAGTATGCTACTCATTGCATAATTTTTATGGTTAATTACTTGTGATGAACCAAGAAAATCCAGTGGTCAAATTAATTACAAATATCTTTTAAACATTGGTCTCTAATAAACTATTTTTTTTTCTGATAATTTCAAACATTAGCACTGATGACAAATTATTAGCAACTTTGAATCACCTGGGAGTTTAAAAAATACCAATGCCCAGGCCCCATCCTAGACCAATCACATCAGAACTTCTGTTGGTGAGGCCTTTACATTGGTATTTTCTGCAAGAGCCCACAGTCCAGATATTTTAAATAAACTGTTCAAAAGGAATGCCTTGCATAATGAAACTTTGATTATTGGTGAGGGTTAGGTAATTCATGTGCACCTAATCTCTTCCATTCATGTACACATTAATTCTTCATACATTTAACAAATTCTCTAAGTATAAGACATTGTGCCAAGCTCTAAAGGAAACAGATAAGTAAAACCTAGTCCTTACCTTTAAGAAGCATGGCTATTTGTGTTAGTTTAAGGTAGATGACACTTCAGCAGTAGAAGACAGATTCACATAATGGTTAATTATGCTTTGGAGTGGGCGTGCTTTGGAGTGAGACCAGTCAGAAACACATGCTGGCCCAAATACTCAGTAGGTGACACTAAACAAGTTATGTAAAATCTCTACGTGTCAGTTGTAAGATAAGTACTGTATTATTGATCCCATAGAAGATACAACATATTTTAAAACAGATAGTATTTTTCCTTAGAGAAAATAAGTACTCAATAGATCACAGCCATTGGGATTGATATAATCCCTATACACAACTTCCACAAATTTCCTATTAGTTATGCACAGTATATTCTGAATCCTCTAACTGACATTATCATTGCGGTACCTATCACAATTAACTCATCATTTTTATCAGATAGTTTTATCACCTATTATCGCCTCTACTCTATATTACAATAAACAATGCAGCACATGACTCTTGTAGGAGATGAGGTTCCCTCTGAGAGCTCAGTGATTCTGAGTTTCATAATACTGAAAAGCTTCCATGTATACAAACAGCATTTATCTCTCCATATCATGTAACAATGCTTTCTTGTTATTTTATTCATTATACACCGAATACCGGAGTCTGGTGCCTGGTGTGGCAATGTAGGATAAGCACTAGACTGCAAACCATAAGGTCAGCAGTTCAAATCCACCAGATGCTCCTTGGAAACTATGTACAGGGTCACTATAAGTCAGAACTGACTCAGCAGCACTTAACAACTGAGTAGTAGTTTTTATTTTTTACAGATCTGAGTTTTTCATTAATTGACAAGATTCTTGACCCACTTCTTCAAATTCTGACCAAAATTTAAACATTGTAAAACATTGATTTTTTTTTAATACAAGGGATTACAAGGCTATTAATTTTTATGCAGATGTCACTAATTTGTGCACATAATATTCTATTAGGTTCCATAGAGTTATAGAAGGTATAATTCCCGCCAATACGTACGTAGTGCTGGTGATTTTATTTGACCTCTACTTTAAGTTTTCTGTGACTAATGACCAGGTGTACAGGAGAACAGGTGTTGGCAACTTAAAAAATAATATGTTCTGTATGATATGGAGCCAATATCTGGCAAAAGAAAGACCAAGGGATTGTTTTACTGATTTAAAATGAATTTAACTAACATTTTTTTTTTAGCATAAGCAGTCATGAATACATAAACATAAACTTAGGAAAGAATTTGAATTTTGCAGTTCTTCATTTCAGAAGTACATGATGAATTAATAGATGTAAAACAGAATTACTATCAATAGCTAATTTTGTAATTCATCTTATATTTCAAAGAGTTCTTACTTTTGCAGTTTTGTAGCACTGGTCAAATATTTCTATGATGACCAATTACCAGCAATTAAATTTCGTACTCAGTCATGACTTTGTGTACAAGATGATATAATAACCAGAAGACCATGAGAGGGGGACCTTTTAAAGGATTGCTCTTTCATGAAAACGTGTTGAATCTATATTTCATATAAAAGAAACTGATATTGGAAATGCAAGAAAGACTTTCTCATTTGACAGCATAGATGTTTACATAATCACCTGAAGCAATTAAGTTAGTTGTCCATGTATTTCAGACACCCTAGTTTGTTTTAGGTATATGACAGTAATTATTTTAGATGAAGAACAATGTTTCTATAATAAGTAGCAAAACTATTTTATAAGAGTTCATTTTCTGGTTCAGTATACATTGCATATCATCAGATATGCACTGTGAGTGATATGGTACTCTATAGCCAATTGACTTTGATTTGGCTCCAATTGAAGGCAACCCTACGTATAGAAGTCTTTAAAAAGAGAAAATTTGTAGATATAAGAGATATGAAAGGTAAAACTGTCAAGGGAGATTAGAGACTATAACTCATCCCCAATGCAGGGAATGAAAGTTTTGAAAAAAGAAATAGAGACTTTGTTTTGTAGTTTTTAAATTTCATTGTTACGTACTCTGCTTTATAGTTTATGCTATTGTTTGTCATTGAAGTTATACTCTAAACTGTACCTTTTCTGTGTGCATTTCTTTTGTAATCGCCCAGAAGGGCATCACCATTATTTTGAAAGTTTTGAAAGTCTGAATGAAAAGCTGGCGAGTCAAAACTTTGTTCATCAAATCAGAGACTATGGAATTGTACTTTTTTTGGAGCTTCTTTGACACTTAGATTTTATTAAGTGCCCCCACAAGGTAATGTTAAAGAAAGCAACAAATTCCTTTTTAATGATTTTGTGATATGCCCAGTACTCTAAATTGACAGTTGCCACAAACCCAAAGCCCCCTGTCCTTGCTCTTCTCCCAGCATTTGCATAGAGCTGTAGTTCATTTGTTACTTCCATCCTTTTTCAATGAATCCTGTATTAGTATATAAGCAATATATCAGTTGAAAGTCATTTCTGATTTCCTTCTTTAAATTTCACTTTATCCATGCCTTCTCTGTGCTAAAGTCTCTATTCTGTTGCAGCCGTGCCTCTCCATGTTTTGATCGTGACAACAGCAGGTGAACTTCTGCATAATTCCTTTTCTGAACATGTTACCTATTTTTCCCCCTCTTTTGCCACCTTCTGCATTCACTATGCCTCAGGATGCTTTAGTGTGAAGATACTTAGCCAAAGAATTAAAGAGATTCATGTTCTCTAAATCTAATTGTCAAATCTGCCTTTCTCTAAGATGAAATGGGTATTTTTTATCTCATTGG